TTGGTAAAGTCGTTAAATGTGGTAAGAGAATCGGACTGGTAAGCTGCCGTATGAATCTGGTCTAGTGCAGCGTTTAGGCCCTTCCGTTCGGCGTGGGCTGATAAAGATGCCCGAGAGCCCCGTCGTCCTAGCGGAAGAAAGATTGATGATGCGGATGGACTTGATGTCCCTTGAGACTGCTGTGAAGCCATCAGGACTTCGTCTTATCTAGACGAATAAGAGATGCGGAGCGTCGAAGGCTAGACGTTGAAGGTAGATCACACCCGGCTCAGTCGAAAGTAGATAATTGCATGAGTCCGTCGCATCTACCTGTGGAGAAACCTCGATCGCTCGTGAAGGGAACTGACTGGATTCTGTGCTGAGCGTATCCAAGCATAGAAAGATTGGCTCGGCATGGTTTGAGAATATACCACAAACTTCAAATCAGTTTATACTCTAAGCCGAGATATGAGGAGTTGCACGGACGCCCGAGGGGTGAGATACAGATTGATCGATGCTTTTCTTTTCCTGCACAATGCCCGCCGCCAAAATGCCCGTGACATGCTGCCCAATGACGTGGTAGTGGTTGTGGCGCAGCAGGGAGCTGTGGCTGGCGTGGACCCTAGGCGGTGAAGCGCGTCTAAAGGGCCTGTAACCGCGTCAAGCCCGAATGGAGGAGAGAACAAAGAGACTAGTATCTATGAGGTAACAGCGCCTTATATGCCGATTCACCCTTATGCTCTAAGAATGAATAGCACTTTGGATGGATGATGCAGTTCCCTGAACTATGATGTATATTATGGTCACTCTCTATCTAATCAACCCGTCTAAAAGAAAAGTCTCTCCCGCACCTTGACTGACAGTCATGCGTTATACCGGACTATTGTATACCAGACTATGACACTTTCTCTTCTGACACGATTTCTGCATCTACACAATGACTTCAATGAATGGGTGGGTTGCACCATTGGTTGAAGACTTTCTTTTCCGTTACATCAGGGGGCAGGTGGACAGCTCGGAATTTGAGGACGATGGCAGTAATCTTCGTTTCGCCCATCGCTCTCCACAGTACACTATAGTTCTCAATGTAAGCTTCCAGCCGTTGAAGGTATATAATATTCTAACCGCTTCACAATTATTTTTAGTGGGAAGAAAGCGAAGGGAGATATGTGGCAACTTTAACCGACTCCAAAACTCAGATCGAAGCAGTGCTAGCAAAAGAGTCTTTGAAGGGACTCGAAAGTGAGGCCCGCGAGCGCCCATTAAACAGAGACGTGACTCTAAACCATTACGTCCAGCTACTGGACTATGAGATAGTGCTCGAATATGCCATGTCTACGCCGAAAATTCATTTATATGTTAGGGATCTTAGTATTGCGTGGGACAGGGGCAAGTACAAAGGCGCGCCACAAGGCAAATCAATTAAGAAGAGTGCAAGTATACGAAGCTTGATGAAGAAAGTTTTCGAAACCATCAAGTCTCGGGAGAGCCGCCGTGCTGCGACTTCGCCAAAGGCGTATTCCTTGGGTGACTCTCCGAAGTCTCAAACCCACGACGTCGCTGGAAAGCATGTCTCGCAACAGTTTCTGCAGTCCCAGGCCCAGACATCGTTCGTGGATTTGGAAGTACCATCTATGATGCCCCCAATTCAAACTAAGCGCAGCTCAGCGGTTTCGAATGCGCTACTTGGATACTTGGAATCTCATACCAAGCCGACCGACAGTAATTTTCCAGACAATAGAGAGCATGGAACGGTTGCCATTCCAGTCAACGAGGAATCTGCTGACAGGACTGAGGTACGGGGAAGCAGCCCACATGCTGCTAAAAGCGCCAGTGATATTCCTCGGGAAGGAGCTCAAGGATCTGCGTCAGACTCTCGTCCTGGACTGATACATCTTGTTCAGCACAATGGTCATACAGCCCCCCAGGAGCGATACAATGCGGATTATGAGTTGCCAAATACGAAAATTGATGGGGGAATGGCGGACAAGATAGGTGTACAACAAGGGCAGGACTACGAGAATCCCAATTCGCCACGGTCATCACCAAAGCAAAAGCTACTTGAAGCGAAACATCCATCTGAGAATTCAAGCTCTAGCCACACGGACCCCTGGCATCGTATGACTGATATCAGAACTAGAGACATTAGGATACCCAAAAACCAAGTCACACTGCTTGAACAGCACACTCGTCAATGGGTGCCACCCGATTATGGGGATTCCATCAAAGGACATGTACCACCTGAACTTTTAGCCCAGTGGAATCAAATTGCGCTACAGAGGAGTCGTTTAAGTGAACGGGAAGGACTAGGGGGCTTTAAGTCTGAGCGGGCTGAGTCTCGTGCGCTTTCACCAGATATCAACTGTCCCACAGCTCAAACGAATGCAGAATCCGACGATGAACCCGTAACTTCGGACTGGTCTGAAAGCTCTCCTGAACGTGTTTCCCGTCCTCGACAACTACCGGCAGACAGTAGCCCTGTGGCAGGGGCGATGATGAGACGCAACGGCGTACATATCACAAAACCAGGCAACGCACCAGAAGAGAAGCAACCAAAGGAAATCGGTTCGACATCAGTGCGCGAAACCCAGCAAGACAACCGAGCTATTTCCGCAGTTCAAGAGAGCAATGATCTACCCATGGGGAATTCGCCGTTTGAAAAGAATGCAAACGAGGATCATATCTCTGAACCTGTGCACAACAATACCAGAGCTGCTGAACACGATCTCCAAGAGGAATCCGATGCAGAAAGCGAGGATTCAGTCATGGATACGTCTGTTCCCTGCCCACTGGGTGGGTCACAACAATCGAAATTTACCAACCAGTCGGAGCAAGGGATCATTAGTTCTGGGTCTTCACTTCCCGCACGCGGGCATGTGCAAGTTCTGGAAACACCTTTAGCTAATCTCAAACACCTACGTTCTGCGAGGCTGGGCGAGGATAAGGCTAGTCTGGAGTCACACCACACAGAACAGTCATCATCCCAGGCGGCCAAATCGTCGTCTCAATCACGTATCTTCAACACATACGCAACTAACAACGACGATATAGAAGGTACCCAGATTACAAACATCTCAGGGATCAATGAAGCTGGTGAGACGAATGATATTGAAATTCTCGGGACACAGATGAGTACTGGTGACTGGTCGATGCCAGATGCAACTCCTAACTCACACGTTGCCCTTGTCTTTGACTCTTCTGCCCCTAAACAGCATGACTCAAGTGCTCCTATACCTATGTCTACACTTGAATCTCAGGATTCCTCGAAGCCATTTTCATCTCACGATGAAGTGCTCTCATCAATGGAGTTCGAGGAGAAAGGACAGGAGTTAGTGCCAAGCCAGGGGTTGACACATGACACGCCTGAGCATGGTGGAAGATCACCTTTAAAGCGTCCTGCATCTACCGCTGGGGTTGAAGAGCGACCTTCTTCAAAGCGACATAAATTTACGTACAACGAGAATACAGATGCAGGTATCGTAGGGGAAACCAGACCAGCTTCTGGTGTCGTTTCTCGTCGCCAGGATTATATTCGTCACTCTGCAGAACACTTGGAGGCGCAAAGGATACATGAGAAGTTTCGAAATGATTATCCAAGCTATGTCGGTGATTTTCTACACTTCAGAGAACTGTGTGCAATATTGCAATCCGTACGAGACAAAGGAAGCTTACAGCGGTCTTTCTTGTGGGACGATTTCGTTATCAAGCACTTGGAGGAATATCCGCATTACTTGGAGCAATGTCTTTCTTTGGAGACGAAATCGCTGGGGTACGAAGAATATTTCACATCACACTTTTCCAAACCAACGCATAAGAAACGAAGTCTTACCGCAGAAGGGATCAAAGTGGTTGCAGCACAGAATATCACTCCGAGCGTATCTGACGCGGTGGTGAGTCCATTACGTCTTCGAAATGGAGCAGATACTTCGTTTACTGCCAGCCTTGTGGATAAGTTTTCCAACTTCCACGCGCACTCCTTTGGACCAGCAGCCCAGAGTGCCCAATCTGACACGGATGTCGAGAGAATGTCATTCACTATGTCGTCGCCTACTCAACATACGAAAAACAATGTGGGTTCCCCTGGCGATGGTCACCATACAGAGATCGAAGAACACACAGGGGAGACCACCGAACGTCCGGAAGCCGAAATGCAGCAACCAGAGGTAGAGGAACAGCACTCAGAAGCCGTAGAACCGGCCTCGGAAGTTGATGAACAGCTACGCTCGGAGATGACTACTCAGCTCAGCACATTGAGAAACCTAGATGGTAACGAATCCGCCCTCGCAGAAAGCGAAATCAATAGCGAAGAAGACGACGATGTTATAAATGAAACGCACGAGACAGCCAGCATTGAGCTGGGGGATGAAGAACCCTCCACAGCTCTCGAGGCGCCCCTTTCAAGCAATGAATCAGAAGCAGCCAGTGAAGCGGAGAGTCCCAACGAGAACTGGTTTCTCTCTCTCCGACATCTCTTCCCAACAGAACCCAGCTGGTGCGACGGTCCTGAGACGCCCTTCAAAAAGTGGGCTCGGGCAGACCAGAATGTCTTCTCTCAACGCAAGTTCCGTCGCAACTGGGCACGCATCCCTGCAGATGAAAAGGGAGTACCTCAGCGGCCGTGTTATTCTAACCCTCCTGAATAATGTTCTTTGTGTTGAGCAACGAGTACGCTACCTGTTTCTTTTCTAGTTCCCTGATTCACTATGCCGAATTCTATCCTTATCTTGTTGAACTAGGTATTTTCTCAATAATTCTTTTGTATTTCACTTATGACGGATTTAATGTTTCAGATAATACCTTTACTTTCAGCGGTTGCTTCTCAATGGCTAAATTCGGGGCGATATGGGTGATGCAGATCCACTGGAAGGGTTGGTTTTACTGTATTTATATTTTACGCTCCCTGTACCAACACGAACTGATATCGGACACTTTACAATGAAAGCTTATGACAGACCGACCCGTGACTGACTCAATACTTTATCTATCTACGCAATCCAAAATCTTTAAGAGGGCAAAAGCAAGTCCAGAATGCTAATTCTCAGCAAGCAGTAATGTTAATGTAAAGTAGAAAGTAAATTGAGGGAGGGTATCTATGTCATAGACATCAATCTATATCCACGGTGAAATTCCAGAACAAAACGAAGAAAACAGGCGAGAATTATTTATCCACCCAGTCGAATAATAATAAAACACAGAAGTACAATACAAATCCCAAACGGCTCATGCTGTAACTTGGCATTATGTTCATAAATGAGGATCCTCGCTGAGATGCTTCAATAAAGCTCAAATGGGATCATCAGATTGTCATTGGTCGAGTCGTATGACCATGTTTTTTTTTTTCTCTCTCTTTGATTTCTTTTATTGACTTGTTTGGAAATATGGTTTGCTCATGTATGGTGTCGCTTAGACGTGGCGGAAGGGCTCATAGGCATTTGACCGGTTCTGAGTAGGAGGGGGTGGCGGGTAGGAGGTGTTGTAGGGAGAGGCCTGCTGGTGGGCCTGAGGGCCGATAGGCTCATAGGTGTAAGGGGTCTTCTCAGCCGTGACACCGCGGGGAGTGTTCTTGTGGTTGTAGGGGGAGCGACCGGAGCAGCAGCAGGTGCTAAGCATCCAGAACAGAGCAGCTCCCAAGGAGAAGGCGGTAGCTAACCAGGTGGTGACATAGATGTTCTTGCCCATGCTACCATGCATACCATAGTCCTTCAGGTTCTCGTTGAAAGCACCGGTGACGGTGGCGAACATGGCCGTAGCAGTCACGGAGGATGCGGCAGTGAAGAGGAAAGCAACTCCAGAGATAAGCGTGGTGACGCAGCTACCCCAGCGACTGCAAATCGCGAAGACACCGACGACCAATTCGACCACGGTGGCGACGAAGGCGACAATATAGGCGATGAACATCCACTTGGAGACGTTCTTGTAGAGGTTCAAAGACTTGCGCAGACCACTGGGGAGGCCATTCTCAACGCCAGTCTCCTGCAAATTCCAGACCTCAATGGGGTTAAACCAGAACTCTCCCTTAGGCTTCGAGCACTCCGAAACTTCGAAGTTGTCGTTGGTGATGTTTCCATCACAGTAGCCCCACAGACCAATGTTGTAGAAGTCCTTAAGGTCAAACTGCTTCTGAACTTGTTCCAAGGCCGCGGAGATATCTCCATCTGAAACGGTCACACCGGCATCGGAGAGAGCCTGGGATACTGTGTTTTTGCTCGATGCGGTTGTTGTCATATTTTGGAGATTGGCCTAAAATATTGTTAGTCGGCGTTCCCGATCGCAACCAACCAAGAGACGGGGAAAATATCCTTACCCGGAAGAAGTAGAGGTCATTTAATGTGCTTGAGCCAGAATTTGTGCAGCCCAACCCGACGATGATGATGCATACCAACGAAGCGATGGTGAGTGCATAAGGTGTGATAATACATAAAACTCGGCCGCCTTTACCCATGATGACGGTGTTGATTTGCTGATGTGGAAGTTGTTCGTTCTATGTATGAATTTGTCTGGATGTATCGGCTAAATTCCGTGGATTGTCTGAAGTAAGGAAGATAGATAAGGTGGGTATAAACCGACCGTGAGTGAAGAACGGTGAGTTAAAGAATGAAACTGAATGAATAAATAAGATGGCAGGAAGTGTCAGACGGGAGAGAATCGCGTTGTTTTTTAAGATGGGCTGCCCGATGATCGTCAGTCCCCCCGAGTTAAAAGTCCACAGTATCAACTTTACGAGTTGAGGAGGCGCAGGTTTATTTTATTTTTCTTTTTTCAAGGATCGTCAATAATCTGACCAATCAGGGGATCCGATGGAGGACTACGCCACGCTATGTTTCTATAAATTCATGCGAGGTTTCCACCGCAACTCCGGGAAGGTTTCTTTACCATACGAGTCCAACGGGACCAGTCGTATGACACTAAACCTGATCGGGGGCACTCGAGCCTCGTGGCGGGGTCACCGCAGCCCTATCGCCACGTCATAAGTGGCTGGAGTCCTACGCGTCGTCGTCTTAGCATTACGAGATGCCTCAACTGATTACTATGACGATCCCTTGCAAAAAATCAGACTATACCTATCTGGTACCATATCTGCCGCTCTTACCATAAACATGTAGTAAGTATCGAGTATGATAAATAATAATAATAGGGAATTGTTATTTGGACCTCACGCTAGTTATTTGGACCTCACGCTAAACCTATATGGGTAAATTAAGCGAGTCATATGATCAAAAAATACGCTA